CCCTCCCCTCCCCTGCCCTCCCCTCCCCTCCCCTATCCAGTTGGCGGGGCTGGAACCTCTACTACTTAAGAGAGGCAGGAGCAGCCTTACCTTGTTCTCATTGTTAAGGAACAGTTTTTAGCCTTTCACCTTTAACTCTGATATTTCTTGATGGACTTGATTAGTTTTATATTGGGTATGTATTTTTTTTACATTGTTACTCTTAGAAATTTTAAAAACTCAAATATTGTAATATTTTAGGTGAATAGTTATTTCAGCATCTTTAGGATAGTGTGTCATTGCTAAACAGTCTTTCTAGTCAAAATGAATTTGATAGGGTTTTTTCCCAATTTTCAGATGAGAAATACTAATTTTTTTAACTTTTCATATTCTCCCCCTCCCCCTTTTTTTAATAGGAGTAACTTTATATATGGCTCATATTTGAGTAAAGAAGAAATTGCTTTCTCAGATCCCACTCCTGATGGAAAACTGTTTGCGACACAATACTGTGGCACTGGTCAGTTTCTGGTATATAACTTTATTAACGGACAGAATGCCACCTAACACACATCCGCCCACCGTGCTGGAAGACAGCTGTCTGTTGAAGAGAATGGATTGGTTGCTGACTGTAACCAGGAACCAGGGCCATTTTTATTACAATGAACTCAGGACTGGCAACAACCCTGTGGTTGTTCCATTTTCATAAAATTGGAAACAATGCAGTAAAAGCTTATTGTTCTGTTTTTTAAAGAAGATATTTTATTATCTTTTACAGAAATTTATGATTGATGTATTTTATCTATAGTTATTTAGACATGTTTACATGCAGCAGATAATTTGTTCATAGTGGACTGAAAACTAATGCAAGGACTATGGTCTCAGTGATAAGTATATTTTGAAGTTCTTAATATGGAAATATACCAGTGTAGCTTGGTACTGTATTTTTTTATATTGATCTGCTGATACCAGTTACAGATCTGAAGACTGTATTTTCACACAGTGGGAATCAGTGTTTGAGTTACTGTTGAAGGGGGTTGCAGTATTGTGAGTTCAGGAATGTGAAGCTGATTCATAAAAGGCCTGACATATACTCTGAAGAAAGCCCTTCAGAGAAGGAAAGTTATAAACTGCAGGACAATTTTGAACAGTGAGCTTTTTCTTCATTTCTCTTTCCTATCCTGATGGCAGGAAGACAGGGAAGGGGGTGAAGAATTGAAGCTTTCCTTCATGGCGAGCTGCAGATGACTGGAATTATAACAGGTACCCTCCGAGTTCATAGTTCTATTCTGGCTTATTTTCCTAATTTTTGTTTTAAATAAATGACAACTTGGCACAATTGGGCTGTGACCAAATCTCAAAGAGGATTCTGACACAGTGGGATAGCTGCAGGCTAAATGTGACTGACTTGGTATCTGCGTGTGACTCCTCAGAAGTACTGCACTGAGTGTATGCCCTCATTACGGGACTTCATTTTGATACTTGTCTGTCCTTCCTAGTGCCCTCTGCTTTTAAAGGGTTTATATACTGAAAACTGCTGTGGCCTTTTATGACCTGTATATAAAGTAGAATAAAATAATAAAATACTTGATAGCTTTTTCTAAGTGATAAATGTATTGAGATAATGTTGTGTTGTCATTTGTGCTTTTCCAGGGCTTTGAGACCTTAAAATATGCTTAATATACTGGCTCCTGCAAGGTCATTTCCACCAGTGTGCCTAAGGCTCGTTGTGTCAGTAGCAGCTCAGGATAACTTAATCTGCAGATGGCAGAATCTTTTGCGATTATTCTAGTAATGTGGTACTTTGCCAGTCCTTCAAAGAAATAAAGGGCAGCGGCTGAGTGTGAGAACTGACCATATCTCCTTTGAAAGCTGGCCAGAATTTAGGGCCTTACTTAGAGTTTTATTCCCTCTAGATTTCTGCTTTTTTTTGGTTACTATTACTGTGATTTTGGGTTTTCAGGACGCCTTGCTGTATATATTCCCAGCTGGCCTTAAATTCTGGTGTATCACCCCAGGCTGGCGGTGAGCTTGTGATCGTCCTCTGTCATACTCTTGAGTGTTGTGCTTACAGGCTGCACTGCCATGATCGGCTGTGCTTTTATTCTTTATAAAGTGGTATAAGCTGAGTAGTTTTTGTTGGAGTGGAAAGTAATGCAGTGAGAGTATCTCCCCTCTGATGAACACAGCCCCTCCAGTTTTACAGTCTAGTTATTTGTCTAAGAATAGGACTAGTAGCACCTCACAGTTAGGTGTTTGCTGTGTCAGGCCCTGTGTTTAGTTCAGTAGTAATTGTATCCAATTACCATGACAACACTATGAAGTAAGATTTACAAGATAAGAATCTGGAATTTCATTCTAGGGTATTGTGGCACACACCTGAAATCCCAGGAGACTGAAGTAGCAGGATCACACATGGGAGCCCAGCCTGGACAGGCTAGTGATTTAGCAGGGCCCTGTGTCAAAAGTAAAAATGGCCTGGGATGTAGCTCGGTGTGAAACACCTGGAATTTGGAAGATAAGTAAGGGACTGCTGGCTGGGGTCATTGGTGACCTGTGGGCCCAGCTAGAGAGGCCAAGGCAAGTTCTGCACCAGTAAGTTCTCTATCAAAAGTAGAGCTTTATGAAGGGCTGGGACACAGGTCTGCACCCCTGAGTTCAGCACCTGGTGTTGCTAAAAGTAAATGAAACTAAATGGTTGTAGTAGTCTGCATAAAAAATGCTGACCCTGGACAGAAGCTGTGAGTGGGGATAATCTAAGATGAGGAGCCGGGGAGATCCATTTGGAGGATTGATTACAGCTTAGAACCGGCTAGGAAGGGATAATGGCAAAGCATGTTGGCTAAGTGGGAGCTGTGGCTCCTGTGTGGATTGGCTGATGGGAGCACCCTGGAATGGGATTGGGAGGATCCACGGGACAGCAGGAGCTCCGTGTGTGTCTGGTGTTCGGGCTGCGATGGGTGGCGGTAGTGGGGCTGGAAGCTCATGCATGCTATCCACACTGTGAGCCACGGCCCAGCCCCAGTTTGTAGCGATTCACCTCCAAGGGGAGCGCTCCAGCCCCCTGCACCATCAGGTATGTGGGATCAGGGTTTCACTAAGGCTTGGCCAAGCAGGTGCGTGTATCAGTTTAGTTACTGGAAGCTTCCGAAGAGTTCATCTTGGGATTTGGAAAGGGGCAGTGTGGGAGAGGGTTAGAGGAAGGCCATCCTGTAAGTGTCTTGGAGGAGAGTGCTTGGGAAAGACTGAGCAAAGGTCTGTGGCTCTGGGGTGAGTGGTAGACAGGGAAGGATTGGGAAAGGGAATCTGTCACCCCGTCCCAGCCCAGCAGCAGGTAGGCAGTGCCTGCGCGTGGTAGAGGCAGCAGCAACAATATATATGTTCAGACCAGCCAACACCTATGGCTGAGCTTCAGAGCCAGGGTGATTCTGAAATTGCCAGTTATGGAAAGGTATCTGTATGGTTTTTGTTGTTGGTCCTTTATGGAAATGTGTGGACCTGGTGGTTCACTTTCATAAGAATTACAAAAAGCACTATTTTACCAGTTTGTATTAATCAAGAGACACTGACTGATCAACCGAAAGCCTGTTTTAGGATGTCGACGTGTACAGCAGACTGCAGTGACCTGTTCGTTTTGGTGGGCCTGGGGCTCTTACCCTGAGGAATATCCCCGTGTTTTGAGAGTCTCATTAAGTTACCCCAGCTGGGCTCGGACATGGTGATCCTCCTGTGTCAGCGTCTGGGTGCTGGAATTACAGTCAGGCACCACCACGCCTGGCACCGCAGTGATGTTTTCATTGCTTTTGCTGCTTTGCTGCCCAGCTTGGGCACCCAGCCATAGTTCACCACAGCCTAAGGCTCTGGAGTTGACGACTGCACTAGTGATTGCAGACATGAATCTTCCATCTTTTTCAGGTTCCTGGGCCTTCTGGTAGGAAAAAAAACCAACCCCCACCTCAAAAAAGCAAAGAGTTTTGTATTTCCCCTCCCCACAAAAGTAAAACACCCTGGACTATTTGTGTAACAGAGTGGTGGAAAATGCCAGCACCTTAGGGGCTGGGGATTTAGCTCAGCGGCATAAGCGCCTGCCTTGCAAGTGTGCAGTTGTGAGTTCAATCCCTGGTACTAATAAAAACGAAAAAGACCCCCCCCAAAAAATCAAAGAAAATGCCAACGTCTTAGTGTTGCCTTTGTTTCTACCACTTGGTCCCTCTGTCGTTGCGTTGTGGTCACTGAAGTGGATAGGTCAGCTCAGGAATCTTTTACGTGAGTGACTTTGCATTGACCTTATAGACCATTCCATGGTCATATTTAGTGCTGACTTTTTCTGTGAGTCAGGGCAATATTCTTCTAGACCCTGAGGAAGGTCAGCGCCAGTCTCCCTGTCTCAGGAGAAGCCTGAGGACTGTTTGTCCCAGATGCTGTTCCGGGCGGAGGTGGTTCAGTGAGTGTCTCCGAGGCAGCCGCTCTGAACGCAAGGCGGCCCCTGCAGGCAGTGCTCGCTGCCCTACTTGAGGTGAGAGCTGGGAGGCTTTGGCCTGGCAGGATGCATCCCTGAGTTCTGTGTCAGAGTCTGTTACTGCTCTTTGTGTGTCAGAGCTAAAACGGTATTTTCCTTTTATTTATTTTCAAGAGTCGGGAGTGTGTAGAAATAAATGGAAAGTTAACAGTACCACCTTGCATCCTATCACAAGCCCAGCACCCAAGTTGAGTTTAGAGCAGGGTAACAGTGAGTGTAGTGTTGTCATCTGTAGAAAGAGTGAGATGCACTGTAAATGTATGTCATAACTTGGAACTTCTAGCTCTGTGGCCTGTGATTGTGCAAACGGGTCTGTAGACTTACGTGGCTGTGTTCGCTTTGTATAAGCTAAGGGTTTTTGTTGTTGTTTAGAAGTATTTAGCACTGTCAGGCCACTGTGCCGGAACAGTGGACGCGTGGAGCTGCCCAGCCTGTGGGGAGGGTGCGCTCTTGGACATGGGTAGAGTCAGAAAGCTCACTGCATTTATTGAAAGAAAGAAAACTGTTTTGGGATGGGACTGGGAGAGAATTTTAATACATTCACCAAATTAAATGAAAGGACAAGAACATACAGTTGACACAAGACAGCTTTAAATCATAAAGAAGATGTGAGGTAGACTAGTGAGATTCACCATTTTAAGAAAGTTTTACAGTAATAAAATAACAGGTACTCCCTTTTCTAAGTCACAAAAAACAGTTGCATAAATTACAGCAAAAACAAATTGACTGTAACAGTTCTAACTTTTGGGGTACATTCAGTATTAACCTGTGTGAGCTGTCACTCACACTGCGGTCAGCAGGTCTCTAGCAGTGACTGTGCGGGCCTCGAGAATCCATTCACCCCACGTTAGTGTGTAAAAGGGTAGAAAAGCCGAAGACCGACACACTGAGATGTACACTAGCAGATCACGGCGTCCTGTGCTTGTGCAATTTTATCCTTCAAGAGGACCTAATATTCTCTACAAAAGGACACTGATAAGATGATTTTAAAAGGTCCAGACCTTGGTGGGATCGGGTGGAAGGAATAGGCAGGTCAGCGTAGATTTCTCCATTGTTGGGGCAGTGGCCTGTTGGCTTTCTTCTGACAGTTATGAACTCTTAATCATTTGAATTTTTCAGAGCACAGCCCTATCATGAGTACTGGCATCTCAAGTAATTTAGGAAATGTCCTTTAGACTATGAAGTTACAAAGCCCAAAGAAACTCTCTTGAGGCCATCTGCCCCAGGTATAATTATTTCAAAATTACTTCAAGTACTTCATTTTCTCTCTATAGTAAATGTTACTGGAATATTGCACAAACAGTGGAATTTATGATATCACCTGTACCAGGCTTTTTTTAAAAAGAAACAGGACATGTGAAATATGTTCGTACCTAAGTCCAGCTGTTCAGAATGTACCTCTTGGCCAGAAAATGAGCTGTGCTAAAACAAAGGAGAAGTTTCTAAAGCATATGTAAGGCAGATCCTCTTTGAAGGACAATTAAAAACAGGATTAAAAGGAATTGTTCATTTCAAAACACATCAAAAGCATCAAAAGTCGATGTATTAAAACCGAGAGATCTGCAGTCTGTCTTAATACATTCTATCTTTTCACTAGCTGTAAACTCCATGTTACTACAAGATAATAAAGTGGTCAGTTAATACTATTTGTTCTCAGCAAATGCAGGCTTTGTAGGGCCTCTCAGTAGTTTTGCAAGACAGATTCAAGTATGGCCATTTTAAGTAGGGACAAAGTGATACCTATGGGCTAATGAGAAAAATCTCAGATTGTTTAAGAACAAGAAACAGAGCGATATAAGTATAAACTTCTAATTGACAGTTTTAGAATACTTTCTACAAGTCTGGGGGAAGGGGGATTGTTTGTTTGGTGGTTTCTTTTTGGTACCGGGGATTGAACTCACGACTGTGCGCTTGCAAGGCAGGTGCTTAGGCTGCTGAGTTAAATCCCCAGCCCCAAAAATCTGCTTTTGATTAAAATAGTTGATGAGAAATCCATAGAAACTTGTGCCTCCTATTCTTGACATCTGTTAGATACCACCTGCTGATTTTAACAGCCAAAAGACTTCCTGGAATCTTCCTTAATCCTCACCAAAAAGTCAATGGTACAAGTCCCAGCTCCCTTCCTGTGGCTGTTCCCATTTCAGCAGCTCTCGTAGTTCACGTAAGTCAGCTAACACTCGTTTGTCTTTTTAAGGAAGCTCTGCCCGCATCACTGACAGAAACACCTTAGTTCCCCTACGCACAGGACCTCGGCCTGGCATTTGGGTTTGCTGGTGCCAGCCGTTCACTCGCAGCCAAACCAGGAGGTGTGCAGGGTGAGTGCTGGGAGCGTATGAACTGGCCCAGCTGTGGCCGACTCCTGCCCAGGATCAATCAGCAGCGTCCCTGCTCGTGTTAATGTGGACGCGTAAAAGGGCAAAGCGAAGGAAATGAGCCAGGAGAAGCTTCATAACGCGTACAGTGCCTGCTCTGCATTTACTTGCTTGTTTGTTCAGTTTAAATAGTAAACTTTTAACTCCTGTGGAAATTTTGCCAAGTTTCAATACATAAAGATTATAAATTTTAAGCTAACACTGCACAGAAAGACAAAGCTACTTCTTTTTTAAATATGAATATCTTCTACATTCTATCGGATCAGACCCCTGAGTAATGCTGTACCAAAGTACAGATCTGAAGAGAAACCGAGGGCGTAGGCCTCAGGCGTTAATCTTCAGTTAATCCCACACCAGCGGTGTGACTCACGCGACACATTCAAGCTGGCTCCTGCCCACGGTTCCCCTAGCGTAGTGTATGGGGACCCACGCGCCTCCTCGCCTTCCCACGCCCATCCCTGCGGCTCCCACAGGCAGAGCGCGTCCTCACCGCGAAACGTCTGTGGTGTTCCCCTGAACCAAAGGCCCTGTAAGTGGACCTGAAGGGCAGTGATGTCCCCAAAGACCTGCGCCAGATCTGGGGGGTTCTTTGGAGAGTAGAAATAGTTTGCACTTTGCTCCACAGTGATTGTACTTTAAAGAGAAAAATCGCCAGTTGCTCCTGCCCCTCCCCGCCTCGCCATCCTTCGCTGGCCTGTCCGCAGCTCACACGTGGCGCCCGGTGAGGAAGTAGAGGGGCTTGTCCTCACTGCTGTTCGCAGTCTGAAACTCGTCCCGGAGGCGGAACTGCCACTCGTCCTCCAGCTCTAAGCGGACAATTGTTTGGCGTAAGGAGCTTCTGTCTTGGCAGATGACACACAGGGTAGCACCTTTCGGAAAAAGGCAGAAATGCATCTTAGGCACTGGGGCTAAGGACCCTGGCCTCGCCTCCTCTCTGATCAGTCCCCGCCTGGCACCTCTGAGAAGCAGCTGCTTAGGTAAGTGACCTATCTGAATTGTTTTGAGCAAGTAGTTTTGCAATTTCCAGAGTTTCAAAGAGTGTGCCATGAGAAATCTCAAAACTCAGCGCCACCTGCCCACAGTAACTGCTGGTTTCACATGTGTTCCTGGGACTGCGTCCCCATGTGCTGCGTGGGGTGGAGGGCCGGTCTGGGCCGTGTAGCATGGCTAGCAGCGCCCGTGAGACCGAGTGCGCTACCAACAGCGCTACCCACCACCCGCGGACGTCTCCCGTCCTGCCCTCACTGAGCTCATGGCTCATCTTCTCGGTCCTCTGTGGTGGTTAATCTGCACTTTGTTCTGAGGTCAGTGTACCTGTTTGTATGATGTGTATCTGTTGAAATAACTTTAGCGTTTATTCCAGATCACAACTAAGGGGTCATGTCTGCAGACACTGTTATACAAACGTACTGTGATTCCCAGCCCAGGCAGTATGTGACTGCATTCACATTACCACAGCCTGTGCATGCTGGTAAGACGTGTACAGGGGACTTTTAAACTGGAGAATATGAAGAACATTCTGACATTAACATGGGCACAGGCTCATTTCACAGAGTGTCAAATGTGGATGTTCACCTGCATGTAACACAGCAGTAGCTTAGGCTGGAGGTGGTGGCGCACTCAGGGCTGAGGCAGGAGAGCTCCCAGCCTGGGCTACAAAGTGAGTTCAAGGCCAGCATAAACCCTGTCTCAGGCAGAAAACCGTAACAGTGGTTTGACATGACCACTTTTGTTTCTTCCTCTAATTACAGAGGTCAGTGGTCTTTTTTAGAGTAGGAAATTTTTGGAGGAAAGCAGTGGGGAATAGCAATGGGTCCTGAGAGCCCTCAATGGGCTGCCCCCAGTGGTTTGTTTAAAACTAAGGTAGCCAGATTATTGGCCAAAATCAGTATTAAAGAATTGTTTTCTTCGTGAGATGTTTCTGCTCTGAATTTTTTTTCTAGTGGGAAGCAGTAATGTTGACAATGAAGATACTAAATTTGGTTTACCTTTTAGAAACTTAAATTTCTTAAGAAGTTCAGCACCTACAAAAGAGTCACAGAGGTACAAGAGAAGTCCACTAAAAAACACCCCTTCGCAGTTGACGTTGCTGGAGTGTGGTCTGGAGCTGACGTAGCACATGGCCACCTGCAGGCAGCAAGCAGAGACAGCGCGGGTCAGGCGGGCAGGGCCGTGGCGGCCGGCCGTGCGCCCCTCGGCCAGGGGCAGGTCCGGAGCCACACCTTTCTCCGTGAGTTGAGCTTTGTGTTGCGTTTGGCTTAGTGTGCCAGCTAGATTTTACCTTCGGTGCCATTTTTCATAGGAAAGAATTGCTATGACAAATGAGTGCTAAGAAGCAGCCCCTCCATCTGAGTGTGACTGAGAACGGCCTCCCTTAGGAAGACGTACTTGGGAACGACTGACTTTTGAGATTGCCCTACTGACGAGGATAAAACACTTTCGGTCATCTTTTCATCTAGCTGTATCTAAATTTTCAGTTGGATAGACGCTTAAAGCAGCATGGATTTACACTCGTGGCTCGGGATGGCCTCTGTGTACAGAAGGTAACGGCCGGAAACCCCCAGGCCGTGAGGGGCACGGGGGTTCCCAGAGCGGGTGGCAGGAGGAGCGGCCCGCTGGTGTGGGTTCATTCATGGCTGTGATGCCCTGGGCAGTGTCCTTCATTCCACTGTACCTAAGTTGCTCATCTTTGGAGATCACAATGGTGCCTTTTTCAGAGGTCTGTGTGGGAATGAAGTGATTCGTGTAAACCCCTTTGTAAGTACTTGGTGAATGGTCGCAGCTGTTAGAAGGAGCCCTGTGCTCTGGGGGAGTGGGCTGGGGAGCCCTGGGCTTCAGGACTAATGTACACAGGTGCCACCGAGACTGCTGCATCCGATGGGTTTCACCTGTGAAAAATCTACAGTTCATGGCCCAACTTAAAACAGATTATTGGGACATCGTGCACCTTAAAAATCCTCCAAAATTGAATACACTTGGACTTGATATGTTAAAGAGTTTGTGTACAGACCAGTACACATGCAGAGAAAGCCCTAGAAGATGCAGTGCACTGAAATGTTTTATTCCTGTTGTAGGTGATTTTATATACCACTTTCCTGTTTTTAAAGATCCAGGTCTGGTGTGGTGGCACACACCTGTAATCCCAGCACCCAGGAGGCTGAGACAGGAGGCTCCCTGGAAGCTTGAGGCCCACCTTGGCTACATAGTTCAAGGCCAATCTGAACTACATAGTGAGACCCTATCTCCAAAAAAAAAAAAAAGAAAAAAAAATTGATTTGATATGTAGGACATGTTACATTAATGAAGATAATATAGATTAAGCTCTAAAAAATAATCTCAAGGGAGAGCTTAATGGCAGAAGTCTGGAAGTACAAGTGACAATTAACAAAATAAAAACCTAAAACTGAAAAAAGCCAAAAAACCAAAACCTAAAACCAGTGAACTTGAGACATCCAGGGGTAAGAGGTGGAGGGGATGGCTGGAGAGGGCGTGCACAGGCTGTGTGCTGTCCACACTGTGTTCCGGCAGGGCCCATGCTGTGGAGGGGACCCAGCTCCCAGGATGGGCGCCCTGAGCAGGTGCCACCCTGAGGTCATCAGGGCAGGCGTCTCAGAGCTCATTGGTCACTGTTCCTTCGCCACAGTGAGACAGGGGTGGGAGCCCTCTGTGGGAGCCTTTCCATGGCATGTCACTGGCTCACACCAGGCTAACCTGGGAGAGAAATGGGTGGGCTGGGGAGTGCAGTGCCGGCCACTTTACCTCCCAGCCAATGTTCAGGTAGCAGTCGATGGCCAGCACGGGGCTCTCGAAGCTGCGGATGGCTTTGGGGAAGAGCTTGTGGGCGGCATGCTGCAGGAACTTCTCCAGGAGAAACTGCGCCGGGGCTGCCAGCAGTGTGTGCTCGCTGTCCGGGGCGCACACATACTGAAGGGGCTGGATGGGCGCCGAGCTCTCGGGCACCTGCAAGAGCCAAGCCGAGTATGGGGAGGTGCCAGGTCAGGTCTGGCAGGCGTCCCATCCTGAGACCATGTCCCAGGACCCCTGGGGATGCCGGAGACCGAACACAGGCCTGGCTCTGTGCCAGCACAGTAAGAGGTGCAGCAGGGTGTTGCGACAGCCTGTGTAACTGTTAGGGGAGTATAGTCTCCGAGTCAAGACTGAGTGTCTGTGGGCTGCGGTTGGCCTTGGAGGACTAAAATCCAAGTGAGGGGACCTGTTTAGATTAGTAACAGCGCTGTGATAAACCATGCTCTAGCATGTGTCTGTCCTTTTTTGGTCCTGCATTTCCCTCCTCTGGGAAGAAATGATAGCACAGCATTTAATACGTTGTATATACCATGGGCCAGAGACAGTGGGAAGCAGGCTTTTTGGAAAGTAAGGTCCAGCAGGAGGTCTCTGACAGTGCCACTGAGTGTGGGTCGATTCCCATCTTAGCCCCTGTCCTCACAGGCGGAGGAGGTTCCTAAGCTCGCTTGGGCAGTCCTTGCTGCTGGTGGCCCGTGGAGTTCTCTCTTTACGGTTTGGTCTGTATTACTATCTCTGAAAAGGACCAGACAAGCATTCTTTGAGTTACGTTTTTCCTCATGCATTATCTAAGGAACATCCTGGGAAGTACGTCATCTCAGACCTAAGCTCTGACTGAGCGGGGCAGGCTCAGGTCTGCGGGAACAGTTTCGCTGAGTGGTCAGCTTGTGCTGTGGTGCTAGGTGAGTCCTGAGCAACAGAAATATAACAGCATAGTTGATTCACTTCCTTGAGCTGTGTGTGATGGCTCATGCCTGTAACCTCTGCGATCGAGGAGGCTGAGGCAGGAGGCTCACAAGTTTGAGACCAGCCTGTGTGTCTTAGAGACATCCTATCTTATATAAAATTAAAAAGAGCTGAGGTGCCGCTTCAGGGCAGAGCACTTGCATGACATTCACAGCCTGGGTTCAACTCCTGACACCCCCTACCCCAAGCCCAGAATCTCCCTAGGAACTGTGTAATGCCGGTGTCTAGGATCGAGATGCAGTGTTCATAAGACATTACTGGGCTCTCCGCAACCCAGGCTGCTGATGGGTTTCTAAGACCTAAAAATTGAGAGCAGCTTTTCCACTGTGAAGGTGGCACCCAGCACTGCTCTGCAGCTGTCACCACTGAGTGCCTATACTATACTGAATTGTACCGTAAATGATACCATATATGGAAACTGTTTCGATTACCAAGAGAAAAAAACAAAGGCCTATGAATGTTGAAAAAGAAAATTGACCTCAAGGTTAAGTTCTATCATAAACAGCACCATGCTGAAAACACATATCAATGAAAAGGACTGTCAGGACCGAGGAGAGGCGGAACACCTCTGGGAAGAGCCAGGCAGAGCCTCCGTGGGGAGCAGAGCCTGCCTGCCCGCAGCGCTGAGAGGGGAGAGTGGTTAAACAGAGCCTAGGAGAGGCCGGGAATGGGATCCTCTGCCCAGGAGTGCCAGTGCATGCCCAGGGAGAACAACTGTTAACAGGAAAGCAACTAGAGCTGGCTCTGCAGGAAACCACCCGAGAAGCAAAGGGTCCTTATGCCAGTGGGCCTCGGGCTCTAGGCCTGCGGGACACGTCCCGGACCTAATGATGCCACCCCCTTCCCCGCCACAGCTCGGAATATTACACCAAAGTTGCTGTCCTTGGGGTCTTCGAAAGCAGTGCGGGGTGTGCGGGGCGGCACGGTGCCCCCCTACAGGCCCGGCCCAGTTTCCTCCACGCCGTGCCCGGTGGTCCCTGCAGCCTACAGACCTCGCAGGTGCTGTGCTGCTGCTGCTGCTGCTGCTGCTGCTGCTACTGCTGCTACTACCAAACGGCCTTGCATAACTGCAGGCATCACCAGAGCTCCAGAATTGTAAAAAACATCTAAAGTGGCCCAGTTTTGGGCAGTGGGGTCGCGCCTGCGAGCCTTACCGAGACCTTTGGTTTAATGATGAAGTCCCTCTGCCCGCCGACCTGAATGTGCTTCTTCATGAGACTGAAGTTGTTAAAGCGGCAGATGAGCAGGCCGCTGCTGTTGGTTCTCAGGTTAAAGTCAACGTCTTCGCAGAAGTACCTGCATCACAACCACGGCGAAGGTTTCTCTCAGTGCCTGCCACAGCCCGACCACTGAGCAGACGGGACGGTGGCTGTCAGGGGAGGCCCTGTCTCGAGGAGCAGTCAGACAACCCTGATGGTAGCACCATTAATGGACGCGAAAAGGGATTTCTGTCCTCCGTGTGTCACAAGGTTCCAGGTTCCCCTGTGCGAACCAGCATCATGGGTGCTGCCTGTGAGTGGAAGCAGCAGCTGCCAGTTAGAGGGTGCTGAGGGGGACTTCCCGGCTCCTGGCAGTGCAGCTTGGCCGCTCAGAGTTGCTAGGAGTAAGGACACAGCTTATTCAGGTGGCAGAGCCAACTTGCCTGCTCCCCGGGGTGCCTTTTCCCTACTGGATTGCGCCTCTGGGTCTTATACATGGGGAAAGTGATTTCCTTGGTTCTCAAGTGAAAGAAGGCTTAGCCTTGCTTGCTTATGAGTCCGCAGAGAGCTCGGTATCGATTCCACCACTTTTGTGCCTTTGGTTTCTGTTGAGCAGTGAGGTGGCTCACGTGTCTTTTCTAAGGAATTCACCCCTCACCATCTGTTAGCGAACACCCAGCTCAGTGGTATGGCATGTGTGCTGTACCTGGCTACTGATTATCATTGAAAGCCCAAAGGTTCGCCACCACTGGCCTAGGCAGTCAGAGGGGCTGAGGCTGCAAGCCACGCAGGTTGCCTGTCTCGGGAGCCGCCTACCTGTTAAAGTCATACTGCACGTTCTGCGTCAGGTCGATGTTAAGGAGGATGAAGTCATGCACGTGGCACCTGGAGAACGGGGCCTTCAGGCTCTGAGGAGTCAGTTTGCTGCTCCACTTCTGAATGCCCAGGATGGCATAGTGGACGATTTTTGGTGTAGACTCGATGTGCTGCAGGACACTCTTCAAGGACACGTTCTTACTGGACATTCCGGCTTCCACAGACTGGCTGTGAAAGGTAGAGGTGAGACAAGGTCACTGCTGAAGGGCGGGTACTCACGCTGGAACACACAGGCATCCTGGGGGCCTGTGGGAAGAGCCCTGCGTTTCGCCACAGGAGCAGGCCGAGCTCGGCTGCAGTCACCAAAGAGGTAGCCAGAGTTAGCACCCCCGAAGGCTGCTTCCCACAGTAAGGCACACGTGAAACCCACCTTGGCTTCAAATACACGGAAGAAACCAGGGCACAAAATGCTGGGGGTCACCTGGCACAAGGTTTATAGGCCATGAAGACACTACTGCAGTTTAGGACTTTGCATTATTTAGCATTTACGGGTCTTCATGAACCCCTGGCTTCCACCCCGGTGCCGTGACCTTGCAGTGCGCCCTGGGAGGGCAGCTCTGTTCCAGAAGGAAAACCATTGTTAGGGCCCAGCTGTCACACAGGTAACGGGCTCAGCATGGGTGAAACAACTTGACTTTGCACCCACATAGTGAAGAGGTCGAGCTGAGACGCAGCTGTCTTTAGAGAGATGCTGGCATCACCACGGTTTCTACCCAGCACCAGGGCAGCAGTGCCCCAGTCTTGGAGCTGGGAGCCCAAGACGCTGCTGTACCGCACTGCCCGGAAGCCTCACTACCTGGTCTGCTCCTGGACGCTGTGGATGTTCCACAGGACACAGGAGTCGTCCATCACCACGATGAAAGGCCAGACGCATTGGCGCTTGACTCCCAGCTCCTCCAGGCGGTTCCTCTCCAGCTCTAGGTTGTGATACGACAGCTCCTTAATGAGGAACCTGGCGGCACCTGGAAGGCAGCACGGTCGCGGCTACGCATCCTGCTTCACCCGGCAGGCAAGTCACTGAGGCGAGCGTGGGAGCCCAGTTGCCGAGGTAGGGAAACACTGAGCCGCGTGGTCCGCATGACCCGCGCTCAGCCCTGGGAGCTCCATACCCAGGCCCTGCCCTAGGGTGCAGCCAGCTTCGGTGAGCAGTCGCCGCTTCACCTGACATGGCTGGCAGTGTTAGGACGCTGGCAGCAGCATCTCTGAAGATAGCGCTGCCACCTTTCCTCTGGTCTGCTTCTTGCCAGAGGGACTAAGGGACAGTGACAATAGATGGAAACCCAGTCCTGTGCCCACTGCTTTCCAGCCCTGTGAGCTGCATCAGTGAGCTCCAGTCTCGGGTCCCCCCCTCTAGGAAGGTGGTGTCAATGTCGCAGATTTGTGTGTGCTCAAAACAGCGCCTACACGGTAAGGATCAGTGCGTGCTAGCAACGATTGAAATGATCGTTGGGAAGTGGCCACGTGTGATGAGTGGACTGCCTCAAAGTGAGGTGACATAGAGATGATGATGGAACGAAGAGCCTGAAACATGCTACTGTGAGTTTATGGGGGAGCCTGACATGGCTTGGTTAAAGCGAAGGTGACACCGAGATGCAGGAAAAGCCACCTTCAAGAGCAGGTATTCAGCAGTTTGCCTTCCTAACATTATAAAGGCCCTGTGTGAAACACAGCTCCCATCAGGCAAGAGACAGCTTCCTCTAAGTCAGGAGAGACACAGGGATGCCCACTTGCACCACTTCTGTTGAAACACAGTACTGGAAGCACCAGCCAGAACAGTTTCGCAAGAGAAAGTCATCTCAATTGGACCAGATGATGTAAAATGATTTCTGTCCTCAGTCAACATAATCTTATATGGGAAAAAGAAAGAAAATTCTACAGAAGACCCTGTTAGCAGTAAATGAATTCAAGCAATGTTACAAGCAAAACATCACCAAAGATTAGTTACACTTTTATAAGCCAAAAATAGCCTACCAAAACAGTTCCAGCCAGGCATGTCAGCACACACCTGTAATTCAGCACTATAAGCCTAGCCAGGAGCGTCATAAGTTCAGGCCCAGCCTGGAGGACATTGTAAAGGCAGACCACAGCCCAGAAGCCACCCCTGTCATGATGGTCAGATGAGCTTTAATAAAGAGGCCAAGGCCATTCCTGGGGGAAGGACTGTCTGTCCAGCAAATGATGCTTCAGAGATTGGGCACCCACATCCATCTAAAAGAAGGAACTGCACTCTCACCTTCCACTGTGTGCAAGAATTAATAAAAACCCAGTCAGAGACCTGAGCTTAAAAGGCAGAACTACAGGACCTTTAGAAGAAGACATAGGCTTTGTGACACTGAATTTGGCAATAATCTCTTACATACGATGTCTAAAACAGATACCAAAAGAAAAAGTAGGACAAGCTGGATTTCATCAAAGAACAAAGTGGAAAGGCAATCCATGAAATGGGTGTTTACCCAATATTTTCAAATAACTCATCCCATCGGGTTGATATCCTGAATACAGTATATAAAGAATCTCTACAATCTAATAACAAAGCCATATCCAATTGAAAAAGAGGGTAAAGGGTGGGTGGTGGCGTTTTTTAGTTGCATAGGTGGTCTGCAAGCACAGGAAGACACCGTGCACTGCTGAAATCAGGGATTTTTATAAGCCAAAAATAAACAGCCTACCAAACAGTTTCAGTCTGTGGGTGCCTAACCATAGCCCTAAGAAGTGCCCAGCCCAGCGCCCTCTCTGCTCGGTGAACCCCGCACAGTACCTGTGGCGGAGGCTCAGTGCTCTGAACCCCACCCCGCCCGACCCCAGGGAGAGCACGGGAGCGCGAGAGCAGCTCCTCTCCACGGTCACGGGGTCCCCTGCAGCAGGGCGCCTCCCTCACCACCGCCTCACAGCTGTTTTCCAGCCCCGGGGCTCAGCCCCAACAGCAGCGGCTGCACTGGGAGGGAGCCCAGCCCTTCCCGGGGTGCCATGGGCCAGCGACCCGGAACTTCCTGCAGGGGTGCGCTCAGGTCTCGGCCCGCCCCCCGGCCCAGGAGCCCCTTACCCACGCCTGCGTTATTGAACATGCCGGGGAGCACCAGCATGATGTGGTTGGGCCAGTACTTGCGGTAGAGCGGCATCTCATATTCCTTGACCACCAGCAGGTGGAGGTGGCTGATGCCCTCCATGGCGTGGAAAAGGTTTAGGAGTCCGTGCTCGTGGCGACCACTGGAAGGAGTGAAAATAGGGCTCTTGACTGCATTCAAATTCTGCTGAAAAGGAAGCAAAACGGTAGAGCAAACGGGGTGAGAGCCCGGGAGGGAGGCGCGGCGCGGCGCGGTGCGGAGTGGCCTGGGCCTGGGCGGCCTCACCCACCTTGTCGGAGACCAGGGGCAGCCGCATGCTCTCCAGGTGCCTGCCCTGCTTGCTGAACACAAAGTGACCCTCTTTGGACTTGGGGATGATGAAGTAGAGCTGGACCTCTTCTCCCAGCATGGAGGAGGAGAAGGTGAACGCGTGGAGGGTAGAGTCCGACATCTGCGCTTGCGGGGAAGAAAGGGAGGGAAGGCGGCTGAGCCACGGAGGGATGCGCAGGGCAGCAGCGGCCTGGGCACCGCTTGGCCTTCTGTGCTTCGCAGCTGCCACCGACAGCGCGCCAGGGCCCGGGGCCGCGTCCCTGGACACCCCCCCCCCTCCAGCTTCCCGTTGTGTCAGAGCCGAAGCCCGCTGTGTGCTGAGTAACGAGGTCTCTGCCAGCCAGCCAGGCAGGCAAGCAGGCAGGGTCTGGCTTGGTGGGGACCTCGGTTTTGTTGCTGTGGTACTGGGACAGAACCTGAGCCCAGCCCCAGGTGACAGCAGTTTTACCAGCTTTCCCAGTAGTTTTAACCCAGGTACTAGATTTTGTAGAAAACCAACAGTGTTACTCTTCCTTAATTCTAGTTTTGCTTCATAAATAAGAAATTTTTCTGTAATCACAAACTATAATAAGGAGAATTTTTAGTTCTAAAATTTTCTAAAACTTAAACAGTTATAGGCCTGGACTAGAATCATGTATGCTTGGTAAGTCACTGAGCTAATTTTGCAGTAGCCCACCGAAAAAATAAACATGACAGAGCGTTGTGCCCCTGCTGCAGGGCTGGTGCCGAGGGTGAGGGCCTTTCACAGAAGCTGTGCCCAGCCCTTGTGCCTAAGTTGCCCAACTGGGTTGGGATTTTGGGTCCTCCTGCCTCAGCCTCCCGCAGTGTTGGGATTCCAGACATGCACCTTCACCCCCAGCTCCACCTGGGCAGCATGGGGAAGGTGAGGGTCTGGTCCTGAGGGGCAGAAGCAGGTTTGAAGGTCTGCTCCGCAAGGCTGTGCGCGACAAGAGTTGTTGCCAGGGGCTCAGAGCCAAGACAACATTCGCAAAGAATCTGGGGAGGGTGATGCGGAACTTAGCCCTTACCCTGGACGGCACTGAGCACTACTGCCCTCCTGCCGCCCACTCAGCCAGCTTCCCTTCCAGGCACCAAAACGCCGCACAGGGCCCAGTCCTCCTCGGCCCCACCCAGCCTGCCTCCCTTGGCGCTCCCGCCCCTGGGTGCCCGGTGCTGGGCACCTGGGAGGCTGCAGCGAACTCCATGTACTGGTGGCACTGCTCGCAGTGGTGAAAGGTGTTGTAGGCCGCGTACTTGGTCAGCATCATGGACACAGTTTCTCGCCTCCGCGGCTCCTCACTCTTGCACTCCTTGGCGCCTTCTGTGTGGTGGGCGATAACATTGGTCCGGGGCACACAGGGGCCTGGAGCTCCCCGCGCTGCTGCACCTCGCAGCGCCCACCAGGGGTCTGCCCTCGGCCAGCACCAGGCACTCCCACCTTGCTTGATGCCCGCCAGCTTCTCCGTGTACACCAGGCTCATGCGGCTGTACTTGGGGTCGTGCACGCTCACGTCGAAGGGCATCTTGCTGAAGCTCTCCAGGTCGGGCCACGGCTCGCCCTCGGCCTGGCCCGAGGGGCTGCTGTCGCTGTGATCTGGCCGAGAAGGAAGCACAGACAGCAGGGTGAGACCGCGGGCCTCGCCCTCGGCGCTGTGTCCCAGGCGGCGAGCTGCACCGCCCAGCCACGCGGGTTCCCAAGGCTGATACCCAAGAGGTTTTGGGGTGTGGGGCAGAAAGCCCAGGCTGCAGCACAGTTGGAGGGCCCGCCCTGGAGCCCGGCTCAGCCCGCCGCGCCCCAGCTCCTGAGGCGCCCGCGCTGTGCTTCCGGCCGGTCGCAGGCGGATGGCGGGGTCGTGCAGAGGGCAGAGTACACATTACAGATTACGATGAAGTGTCTTAGCCTGACGGGACAGCGGGGGACCCCGCCAAGCCTGGACCCCGCGCTGCGGGAGGCGGGCCGGGGCCTTAGCCAGGCCAGGACCCGGCAGTCCGCTTCCGGTGCCGCCAAAACGCCGTCCGCAGAGCGCAGGGACGGGGCACGGCTGTGACGCCGAGTGTACCCAGGTGAGGTCTTCGCTGCTCCCGGCGGGCGCGAGGAGAGGCGGAGCCCGGTGCCCCGGGCCCTGGCCTTCGGGTCCGACCCCCTCTGAGGACTCGGGGTGCTAGAGGGCGCCCCTCCCGCGCTCACCCGCGTTGATCTCCGCCTCGTCGAACACGTCCACCTCCAGGAGCCGGATAAGCATGCGGAAGAGGATCCGGAGGAACTGCAGGTACGAGCCGGTCTTGCCCGCCTGCGCCGGGGTTGGGGAGACAGCGCGTTCACGGGGCGCTCGGCGGCCCGTCCCCGCCGCCCCGTCCCCGCCGCCCCACCCGTCCCCACCTGCGGCGGCCCGGTGAGCAGCAGGCGGCGCGGGTGGCCGGTGCGGGCGGCCTCGGGCCGGTGGCCGTGGTCCGCGTGGTGCTGTCGCGCCGCCGTCCAGCGCCGGTAGTAGCGCGACAGCTCCTCGCCGCTGGCGTCTCCCTTCGGCCGCGGCCGCAGCGCGCTCACCCAGGCCACGTCCGCGTGCGGCAGCAGCGCCGAGGACAGCGGCGACGCGGCGGCGGCCCCCAGCAGGCGGTAGGCGGCGCGCGACAGGATCACCGCGGGCGGCAGTGCGGGAGCCGAGGACGCGGGACTGGGCGCGGCGGGGCCCAGGGAGTCGCACTCCGGGCGCGGGGCGTCGCTGGCTTCGCCAGGCCCTGCGCTGCTGGCCGGGCTCTGGGAGCCGGGGCTCAGGGGCCGTCGCGGGGCCCGGTCGGCCGTGCTGGAGGAGCTCACCCCGTTCTCCATGACCGAACCTGCAAGAGGATGCGTGGCTCACCACCCCCTCTGCCGCCCGCCCGCCTAGGCAGGAGGCTGAAGTGCCAAGGGCTTGCTTGGACCCCGCTCATACTCAGCGGTGCCCCCAGTCCTGGGGACGCAGTCCGCATCCTTGCCCCCTACCACGACACAGTGCACACCAGGTCAGGGGCTCGGAGGGCCTGGCACCCACGTCCATCCCCCACCCCACCTTCTGGAACACGCTTTCCAGGCCACCGCGGGAGGTCCCTGCAGCTGGTCCCTAAGCCAGGGGGGATCCTGCGCCCATTGCCCCAGCGGCCGCTCTGCAAGCGGCTAAGACTTCCCTTCTGCACTTCCAGGTACTGTTCCACCTCTCGCCCCTCTTGGGGTCCACACCCACGGCTACTCTACACTCAGAGCTGCACCCCTAGTGCCGTTTCATTTTGCAGCAGGGTCTGGGAAGTTACCCCGACTGAGCTTGAACTTGCAATGCCCCTGCCCCTGCCTGCAGAGTGCTGGGACTATAGATGTGCACTGCCACACCCAGCTCTGTCCCTGGGAACCTTCTGTGCCAAGGACCAGGCACAGGCCTCAGGCCTCAGGCCACTGTGCACGGACTAGATGCAGCATCCCCGAGAGAATTGGGGCGCAGGGACCCTGCAGGCCAGGGTTTCTGGGCTTGGCCTGTCACCAAGCTCTGAGGAAGTGGCCTGTGGGGACTGCAGTCTTCAGACTCAGAACACACTGCCTCCCACCCCCAGGAAAAGGGGGCCGGGCACCAACCTGAGGTTCCTGTGAAGGCGCTGCTGTTGCTTTGTGGCCGCTCCAGGTCGGGGAGCAGCTCCTCAGGGTCGGGATCAGGGTCTGGGTCGGGGTCGGGGTCCAGGTCCAGCTCGCTGACTTGGGGCCTCTCGGGCTCCTTCCCACTGAGGTCGAGTGCGGCCGGGGACCCCCGCAGGACCTCTTTGGAGACATAGCAACAGGCCAGGCCCAACTCCTGCTCCAGGGCGGTGCGTGTTAGGTAGCTCGAGTCTATTAAGCGGAGGTCACAATACTTCAGGGACCTGCACGGAAACCGTAGTGTCGGTGGCCTGCTGGGGGTCGGCCTTTGGGGGCTTGTGGTGGCTGGGCAGGCCGTGAGCTTTGGGCCAATTTAAGCCCTTCAGCTTGACTCCTCTGCTTCACTCTAGAAGGGAGAGCAGTGTGGGCAAAAGGACAGCCTCAACTGAAGCTGTCACCGTGGCTGCCCAGCCTGTGGACCCTGATCCTTGTGGTGGGGACAGCAGATGTACAGAAGTTTTAAAATCCTACTTCTAGAGCCGGGGATACAGCTCAGCGGCACAGTGCCGGCTTGGCAAGCTTGAGGTCCTGAGTTCAATTCCCGGTCCTCCTGCCCACTCCCCCCATCTTGCTTTTCTTCTCCAGCCTTCTGGTGCCTGCTTTGGTGTGCAGTTCTTCCAGAATATGATTCCCTCCCTAGAGGTGAAGGTGCTGCCTGGCACTCCGCAGGGAGGCTCTGCTTTGCACATCCCCGCGCCAAACTGTCCTCGCAGTCCACCAGGCCCGTGAAACAGGCCTACACCGGCCAAGCGCTGAGGCCGTGGAGCCATGGGTCATTTAGCCTGTACCTGGGAAAGGTCTCCCCTAGAGGGTCCTTGCCCGTCAGGATCACGATGCACGGCAGCCCTTCGAGGTCCTGGTAGGTCCGCGGTGTCCACTCGTCCAGCTCGTTTCCCCGCCATGTCTGCAGGAAGAGGCCCACACAATGCCAAGCAAACTCCTGAACTCCTCACTCAGGATCCCGCCTGCTGAGGTCCCCGACTCATTTTAGGGATGGGTGTGAGCGCACGGATTTGGACTGCTGCCTTAAAACATCCATGAAGCACTATAGGAGAGTGTGGCCTTCAGGTTTTAAATCTCAAAAGATAAAGCAGACTCCGGGGAACCTCATGCACCATCCACATGGGTGGAGGAAATGCACGGAGCCTCCCAGGTCCCAGCAGCCACAAAAGACACATCTGGCTGTGGATGGCTTAGAGGAGAATTTCTTTTCTTTTTATCGGCACCAGGGATCGAACTCACTCCCATGTGCTTGCAAAGCAGGCGCTTATGCTGCTGAACTAAATCCCCAGCCCCCCTGATGAGAATTTCAAAACACCATCAAAACTGACATTTTCATCCAAAAAATAGTGAAATTAGCCACCTTGGATTTTTCCCACTTGATGAACTTATAAAATAACTGACTGTGATCGGAAACAAATGACCTGAAAGCCATTCAAAAGGAAAGAGATCGTTTACATCTTTCTCTATTTTAGAACAGAAAAGCTGAGGGCCGCAAGTGGGGGCAGCAGTGTCTCGGGCCCTGCAGGCGCACCCTGTGCCCTGCGCGGATGGAGCCGCTGCCAGGGCTCCAGGGCAGGGGTGAGGCGCACCCTGTGCCCTGCGCGGATGGAGCCGCTGCCAGGGCTCCAGGGCAGGGGTGAGGTAGGAAGAAAGAAACCCAGCCGGCTTCAAATAGAACCACGTGTGCTTTGCTACGCACCAAATGTGCTAAAGAGAAACCTGCCAGCCTAGAGCCCGCGGGAGGATCTGCCGAGGCCTGGGAAGCCCTCCCTGCCCGCGGGCGGCTTCCTGGGCGCGCGCCTACTGAGCGGAGGCTTATTTTAAGGGGCCTATGAAACACATCCCCCTTCTGCCCGTGGTCACCAGACCCCCCCATTCCACGCTGGTCTTCCGTGGACACCCTGACTACAGGGCTGAGGCCCTGCAGAGCCCTGCACGAGCAGCTGATTTGTTTCTGTTGCGCCTGTGGCCTGCACCGCGCTGTGCGCCTGGCCGGAGACCAGGGCAGTCAGAAGCGGGACCACGGGGTGGAGGCGGAGTTGGGTTTTGTCAGGATTAGAGGGCCCTTCTGGCACCTCCACGCCACCCTGAGAACAGACAGCAATAGCCAGCCATTGCCCCTTCCATGGATGGTCCCCTAGGGTGGGCCTGTGTTTTCCCTTCTGTGGAGTCGGGGAGGGAGACAGACCGTCTGTGGTTTAGAGGAAACGAAACGGGCTCTCTCGTGGGGTCTCGCAGCTGCTCCACACTGAACAAGTCAGCAGGGAGGTGCGGTCTGCCAGCGCTTGCTCTCAGGGCAGTGGTCCCCAACCAAGGCCCAGGGACACCTCCCCAGCACCTGGCCACACAGTCTAGTGCCTGGGGACCCAGAGCTGGCCCCAGACATCCATTTAGACCCTCCAGCCACAGGCAGCAGAGGCTCTCTAGCTTTCCCAGGTCCTCCTCATCTGCATTTTCAAATGTCCTAAGAGGGGTCTCAGGAGGTACGCCCCGGTGCCAAGGGCTTTGGGAGTTCATTCATTCATCCTAGAAACTCCTCTGTGATTGAAAATTAGCAACATATCTCTATCTGAAATCTAAGTGTTACAGTTTCTACTAATACAGGTATTCCTATTTTGGGTAATTTATCCCAGTTATTTATCAAACTAATGTTTTTCCATTTTAGGTTAATTCTTGTTAACAAACAATAAAAAGCTTTACATTTATAAACATGATTTAGGAACACAAAATAAAGATTGGATTTGACCTCTTAGAAATCATATTATCCAATCGTTTCATTTTGCAACTGGAAACTACTTCAAATCTCCAAAGACTTTCGTGCTTTCTTTTTGTAAAGTTGCCAAACTAAATTTTTATTTTTGATGGTGCTGGGTGGAAACTAGGCCCTTGTCTGTGCTAGGCAAGCAGTCTGCCACCACTCCCCTGTGCCACTCCCCAAGGTAGATTTTTCTGCCTAATTCAGACAGATGGTTCCATACTTCTCTTCGTGTAAGTATTTGACCAAATGCTTTTCATGGCTAGGACACACCGGACTATACAAGTCCCCGGAGACTGAGCCAGGCCTACAAGTCACAAGTCCCGGGAGACTGAGCCAGGAGAGGGATGATCCATCCGTCACTCCATTCATGGCTGACAGGAAGGGGAGGAGCATCGGACTTGGTACTGCACTGAGTCTGCTGCAAGACACCTGGCTGCGTCTCAGTCTGCAGAGCCAGGAGCCGAGGGCCACAGGAATGCCTCGGATGATAGGCGGGCTGCTGAGGAATCCCCGGAGAGCCTGGAGTGGGTCTCGGTGAGTCCCACTGCTTGCCGGCTCTTGCCTGGAGCGCACAGGCAGGCCAGGTGGGCAGAGCATTAGAAGGTGGAGGCTACCTTACAGGGCACCCCAGAGAGCGCCCCCATCAAAACAGATGGAGGGCCAAGTGCATTTCGAACAAGGGCAGTAAACATGGGGTCAAAGTAAGTCTGCCGTTTCGGACCTATGCAGGGTGACCAACTGCATGCGCGCGCGCTGAGGCTGGACAGAGGCTTTGGAAACTTCTGGTTAAGACAAAGCAGACCTTTAGCTAAACGGGGGCATTGGGTTCAAGTTCACCCCCGTGTGCAGCCGCCCGGAGAGGCTTCTGAGAGAGCAGGAACTAAGGGATGGGGGGGGGGGGGCACGCGTGTCCCTGCTCACCTTTAGTCGCGCCACGAAGTGCGCCGCAACGCTGAGCTCCGAGGCCGGGTTGCCCAGGATGATCTCGAAGCGATACTGCAGGCCCAGCTTGTCACGCACCTCCTGCAGCCGCTCCTTGGCCAGCATGGCCAGCTGCACCGAGGGCACCCTGAGCACCAGCATGTGTCCCTGGCCGCTCGTGCTCCTGCCGGGGGAGCTGATGAGGTCGTCCACGATGCTCAGCGTCTCGGGCGTGCTGTGGTCCCGGAGTGGTGCCACGGTGGTGAGCGCCATCAGGGCTTGCGAGTACTGCTGGATGAGCAGGTAACAGCGCACCACCATGCTGTGCAGCCGGGGGTACCTGCGGAGCACACGGGGCGCCGAGCTGCGGCGCGCACACGCCGCCGGGCAGCTGTCCCGCGGGGGAGCCGCTCGGCCCCGCACCGGTCCTGAACGCTGCAGCCTGCTGCTCCCCAAAGGCCCCGGCTGCCCCTCCTCCACTGCAGACGGTGGCTGGCGAATCCCGGGACCCTCACCCCGAGGGAGCCGTGGGCTGGAGGAATGGCACTGTTAGTTTAGTTCGCTGGGAGTTAAGATTACAGGCACGGAGTCCGCACCGTCGTGTCTGCAGAGCCTCAGACACGAAAAAGCTGACAGTGACCTCTGGGTAGCAACGCGGAGCGCAGCGCGGCTGCTTTGCTTACTGTAAGCTGTGCCTGGGTGGCCAGCACAGAGGCCTGGAGGAAGCGCGCCCCCTGGTGGTGCAGCGGTTCTTACCCAGGCCTGGCCGGCTCGGTCAAGGCCACCCTGCAAATGGGAGCTAGGAGCAAAATCCTTCTCCCCTACCTAGACTGTGGGGGGAGAGGGTACTTTGTCCTTGTCGGCAGTTCAGAAATTTACAAAGCAAGAAGAAAATAAATCTCCCTCGCTGCTGGGGATAAACCCGGGACCTTCACACTGAGCCATAGTGGTTTCAGTCCTTTTTAATTTTGAGACAGGCCTCACTAGCTCACTAAGTTGCAGAGGCTGGGCTGGAACTTGCAACCCTCCTGCTTCAGCCTCCCAAAGTGCTGGGGTTACCTGACTTGAATCACTCAGGCGCCTGCTATTCCTCAGAAAGCCAGGTGGCTGAAAATGGCTGTGCCCTTCCTCTCTGGTTGCCAGTGGGCTGGAGGGGGATTTCGCCTTTGCTCCAATCCCTGCTTCTATTGAAAGCACAAGTGCGCCACAGTTTCACACAGAAAAGCCCAGCATCGGAGACCATTTAGGACTGAGTGGCTTCCAGAGGGGACAGGGCCAGATGCTCTTCCTTTTCATGGAGTCCCAGTCCTGCAGCTGGCTGCAGCCAGAGCCTGGACTGTGCTTATCCAGACTGGGACCCGCTATTGTCACACAGCCAAGTGTTACTAGCTCGGGAGGAAGCAAAGAGAGCCCCTGGCCTGGGCCTGCAGCTGCACAGGAAGCCCTCGATAGGTCGGCCTGGGGAGGCTGTGCTGGAGGGAGCTGGCACCCGGCAGCTATGCTGAAAACCTGAATTTTCTGTTTTTGGCTCGACCATGGAAAAAGTGAAAGAATAAACAGTAACTCTGATCTACAGGCATTTAGATTTCACACTCTGAAAGCGTTCTGAGTCCAGTGTGGTGGTACATACCTGTAATCCCAGCGCTTGGGAGGTTAAGGCAAGAAGATGGCTGTGAGTCTGAGGCCAGCCTAGGCTACACAGAGAGTTCAGGGCCAGCCTAAACTACAAAGCGAGACCTTGTCTCAAAACATGGAACCAAAGAGCTTTGAATTTAAAAATGAACAGTTTCCTCAACCTGTTATATTTGCATGAAACTACAGGTGTAGTATATTGTAAGTATTACAAAAATTGTAAAGAGATGCTAATGGGACCATACTATGAAATACAATTTCTAACCATGTGCAGTGGTGCACACTTGTAAATGCCTGTACTTGGATGCTGAGGCAGGAGGATTGCTGCGAGTTGAGGCCACTATGAACTACAGAGTGAGACCCTGTCTCAAAACCCAATCAATCAATCAATGAAATAAAAGTTCTGAAACTGATGTTGCTGGAATGACAGATGTGTTTCAGGAGTGTTTCAGTGTGTGGAAAACGTAAGAGGAAGACTCCTGGATGGGTTCAGAAATTTTGAGATCTCTCATCTAAGAGAAGGATCAGGGCACAGTGTCAGTTACGAATTCTCAGATCTGAAATATCTGCAAGAATGTCCAGCCGTCCTCCAGGCCTGCTGCTTCCCGGAAGACCGCGTCCTAACCTGCCTGATGGGAGGGACCCACTCCTCCTCATTTTGATGTTTCGGTTCCTCTTAGCCCAATCGTAGGGCGGACTGTTCGCTAGGTGGTGAGGGAGCCTCACTGAGCCCGCCGGCCAGCGGTCGTGGCCCTGCCGGATGAGAATCAGCATCGCCCGGAACCTCTAGAAGGTTAGGGATCCGCTGCTTAGGGCCAGCGAGGGACATATTGGGAGGAGGAGCCCAGGGAGCCAAAGGGAGTCTCCTGTTTGGTCCCTAGGCTGAGGGCGGGGAGAGGCCCCGCGGGCTGCCCCCTCCATGTCCCTCCTGGTGAAGTCCACGCGCTCCCTGTCACCACCATGCAGGGTCAGGGCCCCTGTCCATGCGCTCCCGCAGGCACTGCCCTCCCGTCTGTCTCGGTGACCACCTGCACCATGGGCCAGGGTCGTTCGGGAGACACTACTGTGGTCTGGCCTCTGTGCCATCTGCACAGCCCTTGGGCTGCGGGGTGCGGCCGTACCTCTCCAGGAGCGCGCTCACCATCTTCTCGAAGGTCTCGTCGCACCTCAGGAGTGGGCTGGTGACGCCCCACTGCAGGGACTTGCTGTACTCGTTCAGGCCGAAGTACAGCTTCTCCTGGCAGCCCGCGTCCTCCTGCGCCAGACAGAGCAGCGCGGTGAGCATGGGGTGCCACCGCCTGGGCCAGGCCAGGGGCACCCCGGAGGGCGGCCTGCTCGCTCTCTCCGCTCCGGCTCCGACCACAGGGGCTCGAACCCCTTTCTCTGCGTGCCGGCAGCTGCGGCTCTCTGGGCCCGCGCTACCCACTGAGCTCTCTCCAGAGAGAAGCGCCAAGGCCCCTCGGGGCCAAAGCTGGCCTGTCCAGGGCGTGGTCATGCGTGCAGCCTTTTGCTGCAAAGGAGATTTAGGAGGAATGGAAACAGACCCTGCCGCCTTCATAGGGGCGGTGTGTGGCTCTGTTAGGGCGTCGCACGGAGGCGGCCCAGAGCACGACACTGACCCTCGCAGTTTTCTCGCTTCTACCCCTCAGCCCACTCGGTTGCTGTCGTGATTTTTCTTGTCATGTTGCCTGTGCACTTCAGTCCCCTTTTGTTCTCGGGGTGCCCACCGATCCCTCTCCATCTTCACCGCCCTGAAGGGAAGTGGGGACCAGGAGGGAGCAGCTGCAGCTGTCGGCCTGGGCAGGGCAGCACGGCCAGAGTCTCCGGGCCCAGAACCCTCCTCTCCGTGTCCCTCGGGCAGCTGGGGCTCGGGCCGTGTCTGGGGACGTCTGGGACCCTGCATGCTGCTCCTCTGCCTGCCGCAGCCCCTCCCTACCCTGACATGTTGGTAACCCAGGAGCTTTGGTGACACTGCAGAGGCAGTGACAGCAGTGAACAGGGCCAGCCTCACCACCGAAGCTGGGGACCTTGAGGTGGCTTCCCGTGAAGATGCGCGTCATTGTCCTGGGCTGTGGGATTTTACCAAGTTGGTGTTTATGTGGGGGCAGGGGAGGCCCCTTCTTATAATAATAACACCTCCCTAAATCTGCCCCTTGGAGACAGCCGACCTGCAGCTCTCCTGGCCCTTGAGAACCATCTTGGCTTCCTTGCAGCCGAGCCCCCCGCTCCTTCAGCTCTGCCCCTGAAAGGTCGCTGAGGCCGAACCCCGTGGCACTGGCTCGCTGGTCCTTGGCCTCGGCCTCCTGGCCGTTCTCTCCAGTGCCTCCTGCACGACTTTATCCACACCAGCCGCTTCCCCCTCACGGCCTTTATGTAGACTCTGGTTCTACATTTGTGTTCAGTGACACCTGCCCATTGCGAGTCACTCTGCCCCTCCACTACTTTCTCATCTCAAAAGCCACTCTACCCCTGGGTCCCCCTTGATCCTGCTCCCCCGAGGCCTTCCTAGGTTCTGGTCACCATGATTCCGCGCTGTGCTTCCTGGAGATCACTGTTTCAGCTTTCACACGAGTGAGAACACGCAGTGTGTCTCGCTGCGTCCTGACTCCTGTCCCTTAACACAGGAACCTCCAGTTCCAGCCACACTGCTGCCAGCCACGGAATTCCACTGTTTGGGGGCTAGTGTGTCCCATGGTGCATGCCACATTCTCTGTCTGTCCATCCGCCAACGGGACACTTCCGCTTAGGTCCATCCCATCTCTGGGCTGAGGTCCTCTCCAATGCCCTGATTTCATCACCCCTGGCCAGATGTGTCAAGCTCCCCCAGCCCCACACACTTGCCCTGCCTCCTGCCAGGCCCACCTTGCTGCGTCACAGAAGACCCCAGACAGCAAAAGCCCAGAGCCATCTCCGGGGACCTTGAGCCCGCGTACCGAGTCTCTAACTGCAGAGAACAAATCAGGCTCTGACCAAGAGCCCAGCACACATCTGCTTCCTAAGAGTCAAATGCACGGGGCTGAGAAGGAAAGAGTTCTTGTGTGTGAGACGCATCCAGGTCTCTCCCTTCAGTGTCCCAGTGTCTGGTGTGTCCAGTGTTTTTAGACTAAGGATATCCAGTCGTTAAGATTAGAGGCAGTCATTACCACTGCAGTACTGGGATTAAACCCAGGGCCTCTGCACTGAGCCACTTCCGCAGCCCGTTTTATTTTTATGTTGAAACAGGCTCTTTGCTAAGTGGCTCAGGCTGGGCTTGAATTTGTAATCTCCTGCCCCATCCTCAGAGCACTGGGGTTACAGGCAGGTGCTTCCATGCCCAGTTTAATCTTCACTATTTTTACGAAAGTCTTCTTTCTGGGGATAGATTTAGCACAGAGTTAATAGGCTGCAGAAAATATTTTTGAGGTGTCAGGTACTGGCCACTTCTGACATACCAGGTGTGTGTCCTGAGTTCTTCCCAGTGATGGGGGTGCTCCCAATGCCGCCAGACTCAAGAACCGACTGAAAGACCTCCCTCTGCTGGAGGGACTGACAGTAATCACGGTGATAGGGCTCTATCAGACACAGACTTGAAGGAGAGGCCACGCAAGGGGACAGTAAAATTTTCAGGTCTCAGAGTGACATTAACCCTTCATGAGCACAAAGTTAGTCCAGAAGATTGATGACTCTTTCAACGTCACATTGAAAGATGGCAGAGGGCAGACATGTTTTCTAGCTGCATGACACGCACATTAGATTTCCCTTGTTAGGTTTCTCTAGGACACGCTTCACTGGCTTTGAGTCTCGAAACAGTGGTAATCAGCAGGGCATGGCAGGAAGCCTTTGATCCCAGCTACTCAGGAGACTGAGGCAGGAGGATCTCCTGAGCCCAGATGTTCAAAACCACGCTGAGTAACATACATAGCAAGAACCCACATAAAATCTAGGATCAAACAGGACTTTTAGGCGGTGAGGAGCTGCATTAGATGCATGACCCTCCGTGTTCTGTGCCTGCCTGGGGACCCTCGGACTCACCGTGGCGTCCAGCTGGATCCAGTGCACCTCGTTGCTGGTGCTGATGCGAGACTGCTGAGTCTGCAGGGTGTAGGGGAAGGAGCTGACCTGCAGCACCAGGAGGTTGAAAGCTTCCAGGACTTCTCTGCAGTTAATGACTCGGTCCGCCAGGCCGTGGCTGGGCTCCCCATGTGCCAGGGACCCTGAAATGACGCTGCAGGGAATTGCACATCTCATTAGTACCCCTTCTTTCATTCATTGGGAGAAGCGGATGCCAAAGTGGACATGGTGGCTCAGTTCTTATATTTGTAGTGTTTCTAAATCAGACGTAGATACAATCAAAATGTGATTTGGAAGACAAAAAGTTTTATGCTTCTTCTGGTAGGCCATGGTGGTGCATGCCTGTAATCCTAACACTTGGGAGGCTGAGGCAGGAGAATCGCTGTGTTTGAGTTTGAGGCCAGCCTGGGCTACAAAATGAGTTCAAGGCCAGCCGGAACTACATAGGGAAATTCTGTCTCAAAAAGAACAATAGAAAAAACAATTTATGCTCCTCCTTAGCCTTTACTGCAAAAAGCTCACCCGCAACAGGGAGCATCTCCAGCACACAGGGCAACAGTTAGAGACCCCTAGGCAGCCAGGGTTCCTGGGGTCAATGCCACCCCCCTTCCTGCCTGGGGAGAAGAACAGGCAGAGAGCTGGGTGACTTGTGTTCCTGATGCTTTTTCACTTCTGTTTAATTTGGGTATAGCAGAGAACCCTGCAGCCTGAAAGCCACTTTTTTTTTTTTTTTAAAAATTAAAGGAGTAATCTTGGTATATGAGGCTGAGGCAGGAGGATTGCAAGCTCAGCCTGGGTAACCTGGGGAGACACCCTCTCAAAATTAGATAAACAGGCTGGGGATGTAGCTCAGTGTCCTCTGGATTCAACCTCCAGTACCACAAAAGCCAAGAAAAAAACAAAACCATGCTGCTCTCGGGAGGTAAACAGAGACCCAGTGCAAAGCAGTGCATATCCACAGAGCCAGCCGCAGCGATCACAGAGTGTCCGCAGTGGGGAGCCAGTCCTGCTCAGAGGGCAGCCACGGAGCAGCTGTGTGGAAAATCCTTCCTGTCATCTCCTCCCCGACTTCCTTCTTTCCTTGCTTCCAAATCTGACAGGTGATACATCTCCTCTATACCTGTGTATGGCTCTAAGTTTGAAATTGGAGTTTCAAAAACATTCTGGCATCTGAACTTTGGAAAACAAAAAGCAAAACAAATGTTTTCCTAATTCTGACTTTTCTACCCTGACCAAAAACTTCAGACTGTTCATCTCGGTGTCCCCTGGAGAAAAGGAGACCTGTAAATGCTAGGTGTCCCCCCGGACTCCCCCCCCCCCCAGCTGCTGAGGACAAGTAGGTGCCTTGCTGGTCCCGGGAGCGGAGGTCTCCCCACCACACAGTCACGGTTTGAGTGGGGAGCAGGGCTGGCTCCTCCCTACACGTGCAGGCCTTTCCCAAAATAGTCACCGTCTACACAGGAAAGCGGGGCAGGTGTCCCTGGGAGGGCCAGGAGAAGGGAGTCACGCAGAGGAAGGAGAGGACAGGACGGAGCTGCTCAGAAGGAAGCATTTCCTCTGGGACGCTTTGTCCCCATCCTTCACTGTCCCCCTCTTCCGAAGCTCCACGATGCACTTTTTCTGCTTCTCAGGAGACTGAGGCAGGAGGATCTCCTGAGCCCAGATGTTCAAAGCCACGCTGAGTAAGGTCTCATTCCATTGCCCAGGCTGGCCTTGAACTCCCTGTGATCCTCCTGCCTCAGCCTCCAAGGGCTGGGATGACACCAGGTTCCTGCAATGCGTTTAAGAATGGCTTCTGAACAACAATTTCTAACTTCCTCTGTGGAATGTTTAAAATAAAACCAGCGAGGGCCGGAGCTTTAGTGGCATAAAGGCCTGCCTGGCATGCTCAACTCGTGAGTTCGATCCCCGGTACCAATAAAATGAAAATTAAAATAAAATCAACGTCAGTCTGTCTAGGCAGCCCCCACCTGGGGCCGGCCAGCTCGGTCACCTGGTCAGCTCCACGTGCGCGTGGTCGTGGACGAGCACGAAGAGCGTGTACGGGTTCTGCTTCACTCTGCGCATGAACACCTCGAACTTGCTCTGGATCTCGCTGTCCAGGCGGACCACGTACTTCTCGGCGCGCTGGTGAGCCGTGGCCGTCTCCTCCAGACCCAGGTCCACGAGGACGCCTGCGGGGGGCGCGGGACGCTCAGCTGCCGGCACGCGGGGTTCGCTTTGGGCTGCCCACACTGGACTGAGTGAGCACGCGGCACAGAGCTGGCCTCGCCTGTGCGTCCGGAAGGGAAGTCCGAGCACCGCGCCCACGTAACGGGGTGCTCCATGCGGGGAGGGAAGGGCTTTCCTGCAGGCCTCCCTGCGTGCAAAGCCCCGGTGCAACAGGCCACGCGGGCAGCGGTGACCACGTTAATACTGGGCGTGAGTTTTCCATGCCCCAATTTAACAACAAAACCACTGCACGGAAAACAGCAGGGTGATGCGGTTCTTTCCTTCTTTAAAAGCAGTAGCGTTTTTCCCCTGGGCGCTCGGGCCTGAGCTAAGGCCTGCATACCCTAGAGTGCGTGCTCTACCTGGGCCCAGCCCAGCCCTGCAGCAGAGCCGGGGACGCCCTCCACGGGCGCTAGATCTGCGCACCAAATTAATCAGCTGATAGTGACCGCGACTACGGTATTCCCAGAATGTTAGCAACCGTGAGGCTTTAGTATGGTATCACCATTCCTATGACCGAATTACTAATGACTAAAACACCTGACGTGGTTCTATGTGCATGAACCTGTTGTTGGGTAATTAAAACACTGAATTCTTAAAGAGACATTTATGAGTTATTATTTCATTTTGCTTTGCTTTTATTTTACAATAACACCAGTTCAATTAACAACTGCACGCAATCAGCATCTGGAAGCTGTGATGCTGACAGCCCTGAGTGGCACAAAAGGAAATGAGCCACATGGTTTGGCCAAGTGAAAAGTTCATTATCCCAGGACAGGTGGGCAGAAAGGTAATTTTGCTTTTAAGCATTCTTTTATTTAGAGATTCAGCACTCTTTACTTAGAGCTTGTTTTCAATCACCTTATTTGTAAGAGTGGGACTGGTTGAGACTTATGTTTTAGGAAATAGGCAAGTGTGAGTTACGGTGCTCTAATATGAGAAGATCATAAATAACCCAGACAGGAAAAATACAGCTTGAGGATGATTAACAGCCGAGCGTGTTTAGAACAAATGAATGGCAGTGGCAGGATCTGACAGTTCAGCTGCATACAGGGCACACTCCAGGAGTCCAAGAGCAGTTTCCCTGGAAATCACCCGGGCTGTTAACCCACACCTGCATAGTGCTGGGCGGAGTGCAGGCTTGCAAAAGGTACTGGCTTTCTTCCTGAGTATTTTAGTAGATTATTCTTACCTTTAAATTTCATTTTAGACTTGCTTTTATTTTGAAGTTTTGTTTCTTTCTTGGTTATGAAGGTGACAGATACTCATCTTGGAAAAACAGAGGTGAGTTTCTCCCTCCATACATCTTTAACCTAAAATAAGTCGCTGCTTTACATTTCTGTGCTTTCCTTCCTGTGTGTGGTCTATGAGTCCTGTGTCCCCTGGCTCATGTTTTAGAACAAGCAACGAAACTGCCACTGCTGACTAATAATTGGTGTAGAAAGTCCAAAATAATCTATGGATAAGTCAATTAAATTAGTTAAGAATTTAGTGAAGTTTAAAAAAATACAGAATTTAGTGAAGCTGATGGACTCAGGGGTAGCTGCATGCTTAGAAGTGAGACCCTGTGTTCACTCCCCTCTTCCAGAGACAGTTTTCAGAAATTACTTGCAATTCTATGTACGACAGCCAACAACAAATATGCCCCTCCACACAGCCGGGGGTGCAGCTCCGTAGTCCTGAGCTGGCCTAGCATGTGCAGGGCCCTGGGTTCAATCCCTGGCATGAACAAAACACCTTAAAAATTAAATATCTGGGACTCAATCTTATAGAAGCTATAGAAGACCTTTGTGGAGAAAATAATGAAACTGTCAATGATACTAAAGACAACCCAAATAAAACTATATCATAAAATATAGCTAAAATTTAAACTTTTCTTACATTTATCCAGAAACTCAAGGTAGTGTTCTGGATAAACATGACTTCTCTGTTTGTTTTAATCTAAAAATTGCTTTTAGGATTTACACGGCAGAACAAAGGACCAGGTGTCAAGACAGCCGTAAGGAAGAATAGGCCGGAGGATTAGAAACACCACCACCACCAAGAGTAGAGCCATGTTAATTATAAGAGTGTTCTGGGCGCAGGGCTGGAGAGGGCAGCCTCACAGCTCGGGAAACTGGGAAACTCTGACCTTAACCGGCAGGACAGGGCAGAGGAGCTGTAATCCCAGGGGAAACAGTTACGCTGGTTTATTATTTATATTTTAATATGTATTATTTGGTATGCAAAAAAATTCATGTGGATTACAAATTTAGAGGTAAAAGACCAAACTAAAACTTCTAGAAGAGATTCGCAGGAGCATAATTGTATAACCTGGCAGAGGATTTCTTAAGCACAAAAGAGCAGATAATCAATCTAAGGCTTCAGCTTCAAAGACATTTAAATCCAAAGTAACACATTTGTAGCAAGTGTAACCAGGAAAGGGTGAATGTTCGAAATACAAAAGTTTACAAATCCAACAGAAATGGGCAAAGGCAGGAATTTCTTGGAAAAAAACCCAAGTGACCAATAAACATATGAAAAGATATTAAAATAAAGACAAAGCCATGATGAAATGCAGCCCTACAAAATTAAGAAAAATTTTAAGATAATTGTATGAAAGAAATGGATGAAAAAACACATCCGAATCCCCTCACTTTTGCAAAAGAAACACAGGAAGAATAACCTGGAAACTAAAAAACTAACCAAGCAACCAACCAGGAATAGTGGTGAGTCCCTGTAATTCTAGCACAGTGAGAGGCTGAGGCAAGAGAATTCCAAGTTTGAGCCCAGTCGGGCCGGCAACTTGGCAATTTAGGGAGACTTTGTTTTAAAATCGGGAGGAAAAAAAAAAAAAAAGAAAGAAAGAAAGCCAGGGGTTTAGCTCAGCGGACTGGGTGCCTGCTTGGCGGGTGTGAGGTCCCGAGTTCAATCCCTGGTACTAAACAAAACAAAACAATGGAGAAAAAGAAACAAAGTAACAAAGCATTGGGGAATGTGGCTTACTGTGAAGACCCTGGGTTCAATTCTAAATTAAAAAGAAAAAGAGCCTGAAAGCGCTTTCAATAGCTAAAAGAAAATTAAAGCAACAATATAAATGGTGACAGCATTGGAAGTAACCACACCACTAAAAACACATAACCATATTTTCCTTACACAATTCAGTTAATAAACTCCTACTCCTAAATGTGGGGAAACTCAGAAATGTAGCCGCCATCGGCAAAAGCTTCATAAACTAAGGGCGAGCTCTGCGGAGGGGCGCTAACACTGAAGGTTTGCGCAGGACAGATCAGTGCAGTCCAAAGCATTTCCGCAAGATGTTTTATCCTTTCCACAAGGAGAACAGGAACTTCGCAGTGTGGGAGCCTGGCAGACACCCCCAATCCAGCATGGGGCTCTACACTGCTCACTTTGGGGACCACAAGGGTACATTGGACTTCCCACAAGGAGGCGCCTGCCAGAGGGTTTGAAAAGGAAGACAAGCCAGGAAGGGGAGAGGGCCAGGCCTTGGCTTCAGCACTGTGCCCACCGTGCCCTCTGCTCTGATGCCACTGCTGGGGTGACAGTACTGGTGAACTTTTTAAAAAAGAAGCCAGGAGAAGGGAGTAATGAACTATTTTTCTTAGCAGATGTACTAAGATTTATATCCACATATGATTTTTTTTTTTTTGTCTTTGTGAGACAGGCTGTCATTATGCAGCTCAGGCTGGACTTGAACTCACATAGATCTTTCTGCCTCAGCCTCCAGAGTGCTGGGATTACAGGTGTGAGCCACCATGCCTGGCTCTGACTCACTAATTTATGGGGCACAGTTTAATAATTTTCAGTACAGTCACAAGCTCAATCAAACTGAGAACACTTTCATCACTTGCCAATGAAGCCGGTACCCCTTTTCCCTCCCACCCTAAGACCCTTAACCTGTCCATAGGCACTGATTGGCTTTGTGACTGAATTCTAGGAATTTCAGGGTAAGCAGAATCATACAATGTGCAATCTTGTATGATTAACTTCTGCTTGAAACATTTTAAAGTTTCATCCATACTGTAGTGTGAATCCGTACTTCTTTTTGTTGTTGACTAATAAATACTCTCTTGAGTAGATACCCCATACTTACCTATTCATCACTTAGTGGATTGATGGATTTGAGTTATCCATATTTGGGGACTATTAAGAATAATACTGACAGGTCAGGCAGGATGGCACACACCTATAATCCCAGCACTTGGGACACTGAGGCAGGAGGATTGCTGCCAGTTCGAGGACAGCCTGGGCTACATAGTGAGTTCAGGGCCAGCTTAGACTGCAGAGCAAGAGACCCTGTCACAAACAAGTGAACAAGAATAACGCTGCGATAGTAGCTGGGCATGGTGGCGCATGTAGGAGGATGGCTATGAGTCCAAGGCCAGCCTGGACCACCCGGTGAGGCTCTTTTAAAAAAAAAAAAAAAAAGGAAGAGCAATGCTGAGAACATTGTGTCCAGATTGCTGTGAGGATGATGTTTTCACCTCTCATTCCCTACCCTGGAGTAGACATCCATGCAGAGGTCTACAGTTAACTAAGGACCAACTACCAGGCTGCTTGCTGCAGTGGCCATGCCACTGGCCATTCTCCCCGCAGTGCCTGATGATCGTGATGCATGGTCCTCTGTGACCGCCGTCCTCAAGGGTCATGCGGTGGTGTCTCATCATGGCCTGGTTCTCCCCAGGTGAAGATGCCCGGCCGTCCGGATGGCTCCGGGGAGCAGCTGCCTTGCAGATCTTTCCCGGTGTCAGGACCGGGCTGTGGCGCTCACTACTACTAGTTATCAGATCTGTGACTTTCAAATTAAACAATATATTGTTTAGGAGCTGAGTTGTGACAGCTAACCTAGAAATGAAGGCAACAGGATGGCGACACAAACGCATTCAGCCAGAGGTTACTTTTGAGAGAAGACGAACACTGGCGTGGGAGGGCACAGAAGCCTCCCTGCTTGCCACTCTGCTGG